TATTATCATTCTACTATTTTTGTCTTTAAAATTCAGTTAAGTTTTCTTTTCCAAATTTAGTGCTATGCCATTGTTGTATTTTTGTTTAATATTTGCAACCGTTTATTTAAGCATAATGTACTCTGCCTGTTTATCTCTTGTCATTAAAGGTTTTTGTTTTTGCTTTGTGCTGCCTTTTGCAGCATCCACTTTTTGGGGACTCATCTGATACATAGTAAATTTTGTTCTAGATTCTTAGTTTTATTCTGTGTATGTCTTTGCTTATTAGATGTTTCTCTCAAACAATAGCTTGTACAGTTTGAGGGTTTTTAATTATTATTATTTATTATCCTACTATTTGACAGGTCCCAGACATGCTACACTTTAGTCTCCACTCCTCATCATCTTCTCTCCAGTCTCTTTTATGTCAGAGGTCCAGAAGGACTTCCTATGCCCAGGAGGTTTTTAACTCTTTCATTACCAGAACTTTTCCCTAGGGTCTCATTGTACTAATTGGTGAATGCTTCACCTGGCCCACTATTTCAATCAGGTCCCAGGGAGAGTATAAAGGGTGTTTTAGACAGGATCTCTTCAGTCCAGTGGGGGTGGGAGGGAGGTCTATCTATGGGAAAGCCCAAGGAAGAATGAAGGATACTTTCATACACCCTTCCTCCTTGTGACTGGTCTGCCACTTGTGTAATGGGGTCATGTAGTGGATGGGATTGCTTTCAAAGTCTTTGCAGCAGAAAGGGATGTTAATACGGGCCCTTCCATGATAAGACCATAAAGCATGGTACTTAGTACACACTTCAAAGACTATCATTCTAAAAAAAATCAAGGGATTTTTTTTATGTACTAGAATATTCTCATTCTCTCTCTCTCTCTCTCTCTCTCTCTCTCTCTCTCTCTCTCTTTTCTGTGGATTCAGATGAAATCATTCTATATCTGGTACATGATTCCTGTTTTTATATTTTGAAGTAAGAGGTTTGAGAGTTAATGGGTACTGAGAGAATGTCTAGTCTGTCATCTTGTCAAACTTCCTTTAAACTGGTTTTACTACCTACTGCTTTGCTTGTTTTATGAAGTGAAACTAATAATATTCTGTCTTCATCCCTAAAAGATTTTACAAATGATTTCACATTCTAAACTAGCATTACCCTTAGCTGTGTTATTTCTCTATTTCTCAATTAAGTCAAGTATTTGTTAATTAAACTGCTTTTTAGGCTTTTAAGTGACAGAATAAGACTCTTGGGATAACTAGTCAAAATAGTTTGGCCTCCATGGAGGGGGAAGAAAAGAAGAAGAATGGTTACTGTTCAGATTATTACATTAAGTTAAATGTGTATGACTTACAGAGTTCATCCTTTTTTTTCTTTCTCTGCCACTGTAGCTTTTCTTGTGGGCTCCTAGTGGAGCCTTGATTATGCTTTTCCTCATTGAATTCAGTCTGTTCTTAGCTCCCCATGTAGATATTGCTGTCAACCACTGATATCTGGAAAACTCTGCTAGTACAATGATGAAAAATTCCAAACCCTTTTGTTCTCCAAAGTTTGTTTAGGTCTGTACCCAGTAAAGGGGGGAGGAAGAAGAGAATAAGACTGAAGCCAAGCTGCTTTCCTTTCCTCCAAGTGATTCCTTCCCCAGGACTTAGCTAGAATTGCCCTTTTCCAGCTCAACACTCACTCTAATCTCTTGGGTTTTGAACTAGCTCCTGGTTTTATATAAGCTTCCCACAGCATAATCAAGTCCTCAACCAATTGGAGCAGACTTTTTGTTGCCATCATTCCAGCTCATTTAATGAATTTCAAGGACTTTTTCCACATAGTATAAAGTCTTTGATTGATTAAGACATGGTCTCACCTTAGCAATGTATCTGGACAAAATAGCTTAGAAATCAGAACTTTATCAGAGAAATTGCTGCCAAAGATTTGTTTCCCCAGTTAGTGGTTTCTCTTCTAATGTTAACTGCATTGTTTTTGTTAATCCAAAATTATTCTAATTTTATTTAATCACAAGTGTCCATTTTATCTCCTGTGATCCTTCCTATCTCTTGTTTGGTCAAGAACTCTTCTGCTATCCATAGTTATAAAAGTTATTTCCTTCCTTCATCTCTAAATAGTTATGCTATATATATGTGTGTATATATATATATATAATTACATATTATATATATAATATGACAATATATTATATATCTAGCTCACATGTTCATTTAGATCTTATTGTATGCTATACAATGTGAGATGTTTTAAAAACTTGATTTCTGACAGACTGCTTTAAAGTTTTTTAAATCAAACATTGAGTTCCTACTTGAGTAGTTGGGGTCTTCTGATTTATTACTATTTATTAACATTATGCTACTATTTGCAGTCATCTCTGTATGATGTATACCTAATCTATTTCACTGATCAATTTTTTTTTCTATTTTAACTCTAGTTTTGATGATTACATTTTGGTAATATATTTAGAAATATGGTACTTCAAAGACATTCCCTCTTTTAAAAAAAATATTTCTATTAAGCTCTAGTCTTTTCACCAGGAATGTGCAAAAGTCCTCTTTTCCATTAAAGATTTATTTTCCCCCAGTATAATTATCTTCAGTTTAGCATGGTAACCCTTTATTCACTTAAGGGCTTTTGCCCGTAAACAAAGGCAAAATTGTCTTTTCCGTAATGATCTTACTTACATTGTAACCCGTTATTTACTCTTTTAAAATATTGTGTTCCAAGAATTCCTCTCTTTTTCTAGTCACAGCTACCAAATATTGCATGATACTGACTGGGCAACTTGTTCCTTGAACTCTTGCTGGCTGCTGGTGTATTTTTTTCTTTTTACCGAAAGTTCTGTATTTTAGCTATGAAAATTTTAGTTTTCAATGGGAGTTTTGTTCTGGAGGGGATTATTGGACTTTTTCTATTTTCACTTTTGACTTTCTAATTGTTCTATTTTCACGTATAAATTCTTGAAATATGGTGGCCAAACCTTTTTTATTTTATGTTTGGTCATGTTTTTCATGGAATCCAATGATTCTCAGAAAATCTGTTTCTGATCTGTTCTCCAAGTCAGCTATTTTTGATAGCATGTACTTTATAATTACTTTAATCTTTTAACTATTTGATTTTGTTCTAATGTGTCTTATTATTTCCTGGATTATTTGTGTATAGTTTACTACTTTGTGTTAAGAGGTACTTATCATTCTTCCAATTCTTTCCTTCAGAGATTGTATTTCTACATTTTAACCTCTCATTCCATCTTTATTTTTTATTTTATTCAATCTTTATTCTATAATTATTTTAACAAATTTATTTTATATGCATTTATTAACTCTCCCTTCTACTCACTGCTTCCCTCTCCCCCTCCACATACCTACAGAACAATAAATACATATCTCACAATAAATAAGTATAATCCAGAAAAACAAATTTCCACATTGACTTTGTCCAAATATGCATTTACATTCTGGATATTAAACCATTTTTTTATCCCAAACATTTAGCACAGTGTTTAACACATGGTGAGCACTTAAAAATGCTTGTTTATCCATCATTTATAAATTCACGTATTCTGGCTTCAAATCTATGATCACCTAGTTTGTTGTCATTTAAAAATTGTTGATTATTTTGTGAACCAATTTTGTGTTCTTTACTGAAGCTATTTTTTTTCTAGTTTATTTCTGTATTGATTCTCTGGGACTTTCTAGGAATAGGAATAATTTTGTCTCCTCTTTGCTGATATTTATGCCTTTAGATTCTTTCTATTGTCCCATTGCTGTTCCAAGTATTTTTAGGATTATGTCAAATAATGACAGGAAGAAGGAATATCCCATATAGCTATTGGTAAAGTTACTAGTATTTCTGAATTGTAAATAATACTAGCTTTTGGTTTTTATTACATGCTTTGTTTTTATCATATGAGAAAACAGGATCCTGTCATGCCTATGCTTTTTAGGTGTTTTTAGTGTAAATGACTACTACTCTTTTCCTACATTCATTGACATAATTATGTAATATTGATTTTCAATATGATGAATAATATTGGTTATTTCCTAATACTGAATCATTCCTTTTATCTCTGAGATAAATTCAATGGGCTTCTTTTTAACACATGTCTGAATAGGATAAATGGTGGTAAGGGGATGTACGTGAGAGATGTTGTAGTGGTAGAAATTACAATTAATTAAATATGAAGAATGAGTAAAAATGCATTGAGGCTATCACTGTTGTTGTGAGCCAGGGTGACTGGGGATATGATGTTGCCCTTCACAGTACTAGGAAAGTTCAAACAAAGGAAAGGTTTGCAGAAAATGTGTCTTCCCATTGCTTTTGGAGTATTTATAAATTTGATTCTTCCAAGATCATGGTATTCCATGATTTGTAGCCATATGGCATTACGCAGAGAATATTAGTATTAAAGAAATGGTCTTTTACAGCAGTGAGCGTTTGAGGATCATTAAAATTACTATACAAATTCTCAAAGATGATACAACTACAATGTTGAACCAAGTTAATGACCTGACTGCCAGTTTCATTTACTTTGTTTTCTGGTATGCATAGTATAGTGTCTGTCACAAAACCTCAGGGTCCCTGGCAATTAGCACAGTGACTGACACATAGTAAGTGCTTCCCAAATGCTGGTTGACTTGGGAGAAATAGTTAGGTGCTGATTCAAATTTAATCCAAGGGATAGGTTGTAGGGAGGTATATTTGGAGGAAAATTATTCAAAGGGAATATTGGGAAATCTAATATCTAAACTGCTGCCTTGTATTACTACTTATTAACAAGACAGTGTAATTACTTGGAGAAATAAAGAACCTGAGAACTGCTAAATATACTTGAGAGAGAGAGAGAGGAATTGTAATTCAAGGTCTGCTACAGAATGTCAGTATTAATTTCAGGGCCTTGAAAATAATTCATTTTACCTTCATGACCCATACACGGAATGTTGAGAAATACTTTAAAATGTTCTGATGCCATAACCATCTCTATTATTATGGAACTTGTTTTCCAAAGGTAATGCTTACCTTCACTGCTCTTTTTGGTGTTTCAACCAAGATGGGTGGGAGAATTCCTTTGTAAAACCCAAACAACCTGTTAGGAACGAAAAAAAAGATTTTCTTTTAGTTATAAGTAAGAGCATTATGGAAAAGGCAATTTTGCCTTTGTTTATGGACAAAAGCCCCTAATCCTAAATCATTTCCAAATATTCAAGTTACCATCATTAATAATAAAGTCTCCTTTTGTATTAGTTGAAAAGTAGAAATGCTGTTAATCCCTTCTTTACCATCATCATGATATTAATAAGTTAATGAATGTGACATTAAACCTGAAAACTTCTTACCAGTAAAATCTAATGAATACAAAGTTTCATCTATCTTCCTTTAGCTGTGAAGAAAACACTCTTGCTTATTAATCTGCTTTTCCAAGATGTATAATGGATTCATAAGATTTAAAGTTTTAAAGTTGGCACAGATCATCTAATCTAACCTACTTATAATATATGTAATATAATTAATATATGTCTTATAATAATTCATTTGATGATTGGTTATGTTGGTTGTAAATTACTACTGGGGGTAGGGGAGGAACAGCTTCTATTAAGGTCTCCTATAAGATGAAGAGATTCATGGTGAGAAGAGCAAAGTGGAAGCCATGTTTAAGGGAGCCCAACTCTACAAAAAGATTTATCTATAGAAAGAACTAACTAAAATAATGGGCATTCATAATTGCTAAATTGATGGTTAATTTCTCTACTTATTTCAAAGTTTAAGAATTTAGCAGTCTGAAATGTTTTACATGTTTTTTGTTGTACTTTCATTTTGAGTTTGAAAAGTTCATATAAACCATTACCATCATATAAACATATAACTGCTTGGGTTTCCTAAATGTTGTTATATATAGAAATATATTGACAAATATAAAAAAATAATCCAGGATGAAATTACAAAGTTTATTCATTGTGTAATTTTTAAAAATCTGTCTAGGGGTGATTGCTTTTATTTATGATAAAAGGTGATCTAAATATCTGACATTTATGTAACACTTTAGAATTTATAAAAGACTTTACATACATTATTTCATTTGATCCTTAAACCCAGTAAGATAGGTAGTACAGATATTATTATCTCTGTTTTATAGATAAAGAAATTGACACATTGGTTAAATGGCTTACCCAAGGTCACATAGCCAATAAAGGTAGAGCTGGGATTTGAACCTAACACTCAGCTGACTCTAAATTCAGTGGTCTTATGCTGACTGGATGACAAAATAGGTCCTGGATACAGACCGATTATGTATCAATTACCTTGATTCTCTTCCTACACATCAATCTATTTACTATCACTTAAACTTAAGCATGAATTAATTTATTAAATCTTTCCCAACAAAATAGTAAGAAAAGATCAGTTTGTGATAATGGGAAGAGGGAATTAGAAATCCCTCTGAAGGGGGATAGAATTGAAAATGGGAGGTGAGGGTATACTGAACAAAATTTAATATGGCAATCTGGTATAAAATATGAAACATATCTAGGATCACTGGCCTTTTAGAAAGTCATTGAAACCTTTTAGATGTAAATTACTGCCTTCTTTATATGCAAATGGTTTGGCTGCTGAAAAGGATATAAAAAGAACATTTGTGTAAGGAAAACTCACTTATGAAGAGATACAGCCTCACAGAAAAAAATTTAGGGGAAAAAAATCCTGTTATGAGGACTCGATAGGGAACAGTCCCTCAGATGAACTGAAGGCAGAGCAATGACTGAGATAATGATGGCTTCAGGGAAATGTGGTCCATCAGTTCATTTGCATGTGGATGTTTTTAGATTTTAAAAAGTTATAATTGACAGAAATATTGATTACTGATTGGAGAAAGGCTGGAGCAGTTGCTGTAAGCTCACTGGAAAAGAGTTGAATCCTGCTGTTCCACAGTGGCATCTACAGAGTGAGAGAGAGGAAAATTCTCATGGGTGTTGCTCTCTACAATCCTATCTGCTTAGACAGAGAAACAAAGTAGAAAAGACAGGCTTTAGATCTGTTTTGCTGCGAGAAAAGGTTTAGAATCAATTACTATTTGTAGATCTGAGGAACCGGGGTTTTGTGGCCATATATTTAATAGATAGGAGTTTCTTGAGTTTCCTTTAAAATTGCCCAGAAGGAGCAAAAGAAAATAACCACTGGGAAGAAAATGTCACTTGGAAGACACTTGTAGTTTAATCCGTCCACCCCAGAGATTGTGTTCAAAGAAAAATGGACAACCATTTGTTCCTTTCCTTTGGAAAGCAATGAGTGCTAGATGAATTTCAATAGCCCCATTCCCACTGAGATCCAGTGGCTTTCTATTACCTCCAAGATAAAATATAATGTCCTCTATCTGGCACTTAATGTTCTTCATAAACTGGCCCCTTCCTCCTTCTTTTGTCTTCTTATACCTTACTCTTTTCTACATATTCGGCAGTCTAACTGTACTGGCTTACTTTGTGCTCCTTGGACAAGACAATCCATTTGCTATCTCCATCCATGGCTTTGTTCTGGCTTGGCTCCATTCCTAGAATACTTTGCCTCCTCATCCTACCCCTTAGCTCCTCTGGTTTCCTTTGAGACTCACCTTTGGCAGAGGGCATTTCTTAATTCTTCAAGCTGCTAGTAGTACCTTTTCTGAGATTACTTTCCAACTGCTCTATAATATGTCTTGTGTGTTAATTATCTATTTACATATTGTCTCCCTCATTACAATGTGAGGAACTGGAACTGTTTTTGCCTTTCTTTGTATCTTCAACACATAGCAAAGTACTTGGCACATAGTAAGTGCTTAATAAATGCTTGCTCTTGGTCTTCAGAGGAAAGTTATACACCAGAACAGTAGTTAGCTGCTAGGGAACCCTTTCTCATACAGAGGTAGGGGAATGAGTTCTCCAGGTTTGTGCAAACAGGGCTCAGGCTCAGGGATGATTGATAGCTTTCTAGTCAATGCTATCTATTGCTTATGTAACATGCATACTCTGGCTCATTATTACAGCAATCAGGCTGCTAAATCTGCCCTTCAGGGTTCTGGGGTATCCTGAGGGATTGAGGGGATTCTCCTTTCTTTACTTCATTGGCTAGAGACCCTGCATGGTTGTGTATCTCCCCCTAATCCCCATTGTTAGGTGCTTGCAACTATCTTCTTATTTCGATGTAATCATTTAGCATTGATTAACATTTTAAAGATGATATTCACTTCAAAGATATAGCAAGAATAAAGTTAAAGTTTTTTTCTGCAATACCCTGAGGCAAATTATACCCCATACCACCTTGGTCTCTGGGGGGAAAGTAGTTTCAATTTAACCTCAGTTCCTACACAGCACTGGTCCAATAAAGTTCATGTTTAGATGTGGCATGACTGCCAGATGAGATTGAGTCTCAGTTACCACCTGATTGAGGTCTCAAATGTCATTTTCAAAAGTTGCTTCTTTGAGTATCAATCCTGTGCCAGTTGCAAAACCTGGCCTGGACTCTGACTCCCAGATTTCTGTGGCTCCCTCACTCACCTTTCAAAATTCCCAAGTTAGAGGACTCTCCCTTCACCTATAATGAAAAAACAAAAACAAAAACCAAAAAGCCAAGGACGGAAGCCTGTTTCTCAAGGTCACATGACCTCTGAGGGGTGGTTTCATGCTTTCAGCATGGCTTTTCACCAGAGACCACAAGTGAAAATACCACTAAGATCCCCAGAAGTGAATGAAGCATAGAAGGATGGCAGAAGCCAAACATGACCTTTTAAATACTTCCATAGCCAATTAAAAAGCCTCCTCTTTACCATGTGGTTAGCCAATTAGAACCAGTTGTACAATGTCCCCATGGTCTTTCTAAGGCAATTCCCCTACCCATCAACATGATTTTCCCTAAAGCAAGCTCCCTAGCCTCCCTGTGTGGAGGGATACCATGCCAAGACAATCTGTACATGTTCCTCCATTATGGTTCTATGTACTTTATGATTCACAGAGTACTTTTCTTTACAACAACCTTGCGCAAAAAAAACAAGAACATGTTATTATACTTATTTTACAAATAGTGAAACTTCAGCTTAGAGAGTTTAAATTAATTACCTCAGATGACACTTGCCCTAGTAAGTGGTGAGTAGAAATTTAAACCTGGTTTTTCTAATTTTACATCTGCAGGTAGTAATATATATATATATATATATATATATACACATGTATATACACATATGTATATATATATCTGAGCCTCTCCAATTCTTTTCCTCATTTGGGAAATAATGATAACAATGACACTTACAAAGGTCAAATTAGGTAACTATACATATATATGTATACACATACATACATATGTATATACATACATGTATATAGCTTCATAAACTTTAAAGTATGTATAAGTGTCAGCTATTATCATCTCCTTAATGTCTATAAATCTTTGAGTGAACTTGATGCCATATATTACCCTCCTTGTTGTACAAATGGGAAATAAAGAGGCCAAGACCAAAGTTGACCAATGCCCTGCTGTTAGGATCTTTGTCATTTTCATATCATTATTAATAAGCAGTAGAGTCCTCACCATGTGATACGGCCTGAGTTCACATTTGTTCTCAATTGTATAACAAAAGCCAAAACCTTATAGTATTTATATATGCATATAAAATTAAGATCAAAAAGTTTATTGCATCCCTTCTCAAAGGCACAGCTTGTATACAGCATACTTGAATACAGATTTGTGCCAAAGCCTACAAAATAAGTGATTTTACTCCTCATTTCCATCTGTGTGTATGTGTATGTGAAACAAATTAACATGTTGGTGGCTCCAAGGTCTTGTCACAGTCAATGAAAAGATGTTGATTGTATGGATGCACAGAAATATGGAATTTCCTGTGATTAACAGCATATACCCAGTCTCAGTGGTTTACTTACACAAAGCCACATCTTCAAAGAAGCTTTAATGTTGTCATTCATTAATTGATTCCTAGGTTCCCAAGATTTAAAGCACAAAACTTAGGACACTCATTTCTTCAATCTGTTCACTCAGACATCATGTGCCTAGTCATGTTCTTTCGTCTTTTGGGAAGGCTGGAGTTTAGGATATCTAAAAACTTAA